AAGTTCGGGATCCACCATTCAACATTGAAGGGGAGAGGGGGAAGGTGTCGTCTTCTTCTTCTCTTGGCTTCAACTTCCTGAGGGGAAGCAACGAGAGGGCCGGTCAAGGTGGGAAAGAGAAAAGGGGAAGGGATCGGCGGTAGAGATGAGGGAGTTGGCTAGGGTTTGGGGAACATAGGTTAGGGTGGAGGGATGAAGGGATTTAAACAAAATCTGAAGTTAATTTCATATTTGAGTTAATTTGGAGGGAAGTTAATTGGAATTTGAATTTTGGATCAAGGGCATTGATTGCATTAAACTAGCATTAAAGGGGATTCCCCCTTGATGGGGCCGGCGGCATGTAGAGAGGGGAGGGAGATTAGGGAGGGATTATGTGCTTTCCAATTGGGTTGCTGCCACCTAGGATGAGAATTAATAACTCCCCATGTCATGAAATTTGAATTGGATTCAATTCAAATCTTTTCTTATTTGGACTTTTGCAATTATGGAAAATTTTGAATCTCAAATTTGAATTTCAAATTAGCTAGACTCTCCCTTTATTGCAAACCCAAATTAAGGAGTCATTATGATGATTAGTATCATTATCAAGGTTTGAAGCAAGGTGGTGGCCGGCGGCCCAAGGAGGAGGAGGGGCTTGCCGTCGGGGGTTGGTTTGGTTTAACAGAGCTTGGAGTTGTAGTGGAGGAAGCGAGTGGATAACGTGGTGGAGGAATGGATCTCGGGTAGAGATTGGCGTGGGGGAAAAGGAGAACCAAAATTTAGAAAAGAAAACAATAAGATAAAATAAACCACGAGTCGAGGACGATTCCAACGATTGGTGGGTATTACAAATGCTCACCTTGAGCTCAATCACCATTCTCTAGCTCTTATGCAAGAAGAAGAAGACAACATAAAATTTCATTCAAATATTCATTAGCCAAATACATCATATGAGACCATTATATATAGGTCTCCACTCATGAAAAATGAAAAGTATGAAATTGCCCTATGGGCTACAATAACAAAACAACTCCCCACAAGGGTAAAAATGGAAAACAGTAAGTAACTAAATAATCATCATGACATCTTAATCAAAAGTAGAGGCCCTGAATCGTGGCCGTCGATCTGTGATTCCGTCGTCGATAAACATGTCGGTAGCGTCTGTCGATGTCCTCATCATAACCTTTCTAATTCTAAGCAAAATGATAATGTTACTTCAAAATTCTTAATAAGCTTAACTCTTGGTTTAGTGGTTGGAAACATAAACTTCTTTCTTTTATTGGTAGATTTTAGCTTGTTTGATCCCTTTTATGAAACTATCTTTGTTATTGGTTCATATATACTATTATACCTCATGATATTATAAAGAGTACTACTAGTTCTATTATTAATTTTCTTCAAAACAATGGCGAGAATAGAACACTCAGACTCATATCTTAGAACACCACCACCAAGCCTACTAATAAAGGTGGTCCTGGTTTCCTCAATATTGATTATTTACATATAATGAGCAAGTGCAAACTCCTATAGAGATTGCACAATTGTATGATCTATCTTTTTATTTGTCTTTTCAATAACTATTCACCTAGTTGGACTAAGCCTCCTCATGATGATACTAGTTTTTGAAATGCTCTTTGTGAAACTGCCATAAATAATAGTAATTGGCTTACTCTCAAGGTTAGCAATAATCACTTACTTTTTTCATTAACTCTGTCATTGCCTCCTTTAACTGCTCTCATTAAGCCACCATCAATGATTTTATTTTCAATGGGAAATGTTGTTTCCGTCCTCCACAAATTTCACATACAATGATTATGTTCGTCAAATTACCCAACTCGAGATTTATTCTTCCAGTTCTATATGTTATTCACTAGGGAGTAATACTTTTTCATACAAAATGACATAAAACTAACTATATTTGACTGATTATAAACTACCTTGGAGCAAGTTTGTTTGGTTCAAAGAATGCTCCACTAAATATGCAACTTTTGTTTGGAAAATCTTAGTTGGCCACTTAAAGACCAAGGTTGCCTTTAAAGCTAAGAGTGTCAATGTTAGTCAAAGTTGTGTATTTTGTAATATATTTTTGGAATCACACAATCCTCGAAAGATGCATATATTATAGTTCCTAACAACTTAGTTTTAACATTAATCAAGCCCTTATATTTGTGTAGATGATATTAAGTGTAAAATTACTAGAAGATATTTTTTTGTTCTTGCTATTCATATCAATGCTTACTCCTTATGGTATGAAATAAACTACAAGAATTTTTAATGCCAAAGAATGAATGGATGTAGCATTTTAGTTTCAAAAACTTTTTTTATAATAATGATGAAATGCAGGATGTGGATGTTTCAAAGTGATATTCCTTGCAGTATCTTATAGCTATACTATCATTGAATTTTTCCTTATCTCAAATGTTGTTGGTGGTGGTTTATGATTCTAGTTATATGGTTTCTATCTTTTGAATTTTGCTTTACGGTGTATGTCCTATATGTAGTTTTAGTAAAATTTAATTTTTAGCATAAATCACCTCTTAAACAAAAAGAACTTTTATGCATCAATCTTGGTGTAGAGGTTTATAAATTTCATACAGGATTTGTGGTTTAAGTTATTTTGTTTTAAAAAAAATTCAAGAAAAATGAATACTACAAAGACTTATAATGATTTTAAGAATGTTAAATGCAAGAGGGTGATGAGTAGAGTAAAATTGTTGATTTATATGATAGGTTGTCACTCAAATCTCCTCAATGATACTCCAGTCTTTTCCTTGTTATCCACTCGTGGTTAAGTTGCTGCTTTCTTACTGTCTAAACCACCCTTGATCCAAAGCCATCTTCTTGATGTTATTGCATAGCTGACAATGAGAGGTTTGAATATTGCAAGGTTAAATAAATTCCTTGGAGAAGGATCCTAATTCTGAGCCATAAATAAGGGTACCTTAACTTAGTATTCTTGCTGTAGGCAATTAGCCCTCTCTGGCTTCTTCTTACTGCTTGGGACTACAAGCAGTCTCTTAATTTTTCCTTTGCAGAAAGATCACAACGTCAAGATGGTATTGGCTTTTGGCTAAGGTCTAGGATAGTAACGAGGCAGTGTTCAGTAGTGATTTGAGAGAAATACCTTGAGGTGTGTTTACATCCTCTCCATTAACTCTCATGTTTATTGCATGTGATCTTGTATAGGTTGTTATTGACTTGTCTCAAGCTTTCTGATTTCTTCAACCGTAACATAACCCATCTCATATAAAACACAATGCATCATTCCTTTGGATTGCTCTTAGGTTATATTACTTTATATTATGATGACCATTTCCATTTAACCATCAAACTAAAACATGGTTGCTTAGTTTAAATTAGAGGAAAATATCACTTTGTCACGAGTATTACATTTATACTCCTATAAATTCAAGTAGATATAAAATTGAATACATGGAGAATAATTTTAATAGTAATAGATGTAATGGCGAGTCTGTGACATTGGTATCACGTTATTAAAAAGAGTGCACGTGTTGGATATCTTGGGTCTTTTGTTCATAGTGATGGTAAAATAGATGGGGATATTATTAGTAGTACTCAAATTGGATGATTGAAGAGGAGGAATGCATTGGGCTTGTTGTGTGATAGAAAAGTACTCTTGAAATTTAAGAACAAATTTTATAAGATGGTGGTGAGACCTATAATGATTTATGGTGCAGAATGTTAAGCGTTAAAAGAAATAATAAAATTAAGTCAAGTATTATAGAGATGAGGGTGCTTGGATGGATGAGTGGCTTTACACTTAGAGATAGAAAGCAAAACAAGTATGCACATAATAAGGTTGGAGAAGCTCCAGTGGTAGATAAGATTAGAGAGTTGCTTTAGATAGTTTGGTCACATGAAGTGTCGAACATTCGATGACCCGATTAAGAGAGTAACATATTAGATTTGGCCTATGATAAGAAAAGTAGATGTAAACTTGAAAAGACTTAGTTAGAAAATATTAGAAATGATTTTTTATTGGATTTAAATAAAAATTTGACTTTTAATAGGACACAATAGAGAAAAATTATTCATGTAACTAACCCCATATAATAGGATAAAGGCTTGTTGTTGTTATTGTATAAATTCAAGTATGTTTCTAACTGGTTAATCATTGCATTCTTTTTTTTACTTTTTATTTTGACAATCCCATCATATGTGGTAATCTTCACTTAGGATTTTGCTTCAAAAAGTATAGACTTCATTTATCATGGTGACATCCTTTCCGTCATTCCGATCACTGTATTGCATATTGCGGCTAAGATCACTAAGATTTGAAGTGTTGAGGATGGATTACATATTTAGCCATTTCATTATCATTGCCATTTGTTTTTTTAATCCAGCTACCTGATTTGCTATATTAGGAGAGTACTTATTTTGAGCCATTTGTTCTTTCTTGTGTTTCTTTTGGGTCATCCAATGTGAATTTAGGTCAAGAATATATTCACCTGCTCCTTGATATACTGTTTTTGTTTGTACCATACAACAAAATGAGTGCTCTAATACTAATTTAGTCATGTCCAACCTCTTAATATAATTGTATAAGCCCACAATGAAAGGTTATGGTGATCACAAAGGTTTAAACAATTTCTTTGACGAATATTTCCCTTGATCTATGAATAAAAAATAATGGTATGTTAATTTAATATTCTTGTTTTAGTCGACTTTCCCTTTCCCCTTCTTCTTCCTAGCTTATGATCATCAAGAGTTCAGAAAACAAGAAATAACTTTGGTGTAATTCTATATAGGCTATCATTGAAGCTGTCTCAGATGGTGTCATTTCTTTAACCAATCCTTAACATTATCATTTGCCACCTGATTGGCTATATTAGGAGTGGAGTCATTTGGAGCCATTATTTTTTGGTTGTTTTTTAATTTTTGTCTTTCAATGTGACTTATGGTAAGTAAATATTCTCCTATTTTTTGACATGATCTTTTTTTTGTACATGCAACAAAAATAAGTGCTCTGATACTAATTTGATCTCAGTATTGTTTTGTAGGCAAAAAATGAGGAGAGATTATTACGTGCAGAGTGGTCACAATTTTTTTGTTCGGATGCCAATCATGTGAATTTTCTCCCTCTTGTACATATCCTACATACAAAAGAGAACAAAATCTACGTGTTCGCGTGATTGGCGTCTCCGCACTCCGCATCTAATAATTTTTCCATCGTGAGAGGGAAAAATTGTTAAAAATTTTATTTGGAAAATAATCCCAATGATCTATGAATCATAATTAAGGGTATCTTAATTTAGCACTTTTGTTGTAGTTTTCTGTTTTTGGCTTCTCCTTTCTAGCAGGACTACAAGCATTCTCTCTTTTTTGAGCCTTGATAGCTGCCAGTTATTGTATAGCTCCTATTTTCTATAAAAGTAGTAAAATAATTGGTGTTTTTCTTTCCTTAGACGTTACTGCAGAACCTAGATGTTTTTAAGATAATAGCAGCGTCGTAACATAGTAGTCTTCTGAAGACATCAGAAGGTAACATCAATGACTATTCAGCAAAATTCAGGGCTCTCAAGGTAGTCTCCGGTTTTATGAAAAGTAAATAAATGAATAAAAGCTAGAAGAACTGCAGCTTTTGACGTGCTGGAGCTTGGTTGGAGGAGATGAATTTGAGAGACAGCTTGATAAGGACAAATCCGCTCCTAAACAAACTCCACAAAAGAGAGAACCCTATTTACAAATAAATGGTGGATAATTACAAATTAATCAATTATGACCCTGAATTTTATCCTAATACAGATTTTAATACAACAATACAGATTCCTTGCTTCTTAATCTTGATCATCTAGCCTCTTTTCGATAGCTTATCTTTGCTAGAGGACTCTTAACAATGCTTTTTTTGTTCTTAACAGGTGATTTAAGAGTAATTACCTTCGAATCTCTCCTTCCAGAAATTATACGGCAGAAATTAGAAAATTGGTATACGCTATTTTTGCAATGTTGCATTTCCTGGACTAGTTACTATTTTCTTTGAAAATTTTATTTTTCATTCCAAAATAAAGTAATAGTCATATCAAAAAGTTTCATTTTCAACGGAACTCTGTTTTTAACATCAGAAAGAATATTTTGTGTATTTTATTTTTCAATATTGACATAATACTGTTTCCAATTTAGATAAAAATGTAAAAATGAATTTTTCATGCCGGGAAACGAGCAAATGATGTTTGGTTGAAGATGCCCCAACCTCATAGCATTTAGCGTGCTTATCAAGACTTGCTAATAACGAGTAAGGCTTCGTTTGGGATTGCTTTCTTCCTGCTTCTTAAAGCGAGTTTTTAGTACAAAATTTTAAATTTTTTAACTAGAAATCTGCTTTAAGAAGCATTAAGAAAGCCGTCCCAAACGAAGCCTAAGGCTTCGTTTGGGACGGCTTTTTTATAGCTTTCTAAAACGGAGTTTTAGTACAAAAATAAAAAACTTTTTTACTGCTTTCTAAAACGGAGTTTTAGTACAAAATTTTTCATTTTTGTATTAAAACTCCGTTTTAGAAAGCAAACGAAGCCTAAGGCTTTGTTTGGGACGGCTTTTTTGTTGCTTCTTAAAGCAGCTTTATAATACAAATATTTTAATTTTTGTATTAAAAAGCTGCTTTAAGAAGCAACAAGAAAACAGTCCCAAATGAAGCCTAAGTCTAGCCCTTAAATGCATAATTTAATAATAGAAGCATAGATTTGAATATTTATGCAATATATGCTATATCTAAATGTAATCTGCTTTCTTGATGTTTCAGTTATACTTTGACAAAAAAAGGGTCCACATGAGCGTTTTATTCATGCTATTTGATATGAATAGGATAAAGTAATTTTTTTTTTTAAATTTCTCGTCTCTTTTTAACAATTATTTTATTATATTATATTTAATTTCACATTTCTTATACTGTTTTCATTCACAACTCAAATTTATTAAGATTTATTTATTACATGTACTTTTGTCCCATTTTCTTTATGGCACGCCCCTTTCCCTCTATCCTCTATTTTGCTGCCATGTGACTTATTGCCTAACTAAGAATATTGGTGCATTGTATGTGTCCAGACCCGCTAAACAATCTATCCCTCAATAAGACCCTCTATTTTTTGCCAAACAACAAGCCTCTATCTCTATGTACTCATTCACATTTCTAGATTAGAATGTAAGAGGTCTATAGGAATAGAAGAAGATCATTGAATGCAAAAATATAATTCATATTGTTCTATCATTTGGTGCTCATTTTAGTTTTGAATTAGCCGCTCATCCTTTCTCTTCAAGAAAATTTCGATTTTTCCTATGAAGAGGGTTGTTGCATGCTCTTTTCTTTCCTGAGAAAGAGAATTTGAATTAAATGAGATTTTAAAAAATTAAGGTTATCAAAAGTGAACTAAAAATTGTCCTTCGAATAATAGTTTTAATATTTCATTTAAGCTTATGTCATCTTTTGTAGGGTAGTAGTGTAGAATCTATTTTTTCCTTGAAGACAAGTTTCTTTATCCGAATCTTCTACAGGATGCCATATTGATTCATGATAAGACAATTCATACATCCAATCATGAAAGCAAATTAATCTATCCGATATTTAATTTTTTTTTTTTTGGATATTTAGGCCAATTAAGGCAAATTCACACACACAACGCATACACATAGACTCGAACCTTGGACCTCTTAGTTGGAAGCCTAAGCTCTCAACCAATAGGCCAAGGAGAGTTGATCTATCTGAGATCTAAGAGAGCATACCTTACTAAGGAAGAGGAACTGACTGGATTTTATACAATCAGCATACCTATGAATTCTTTTGGTTTTATTTTTATTTATTTATTTATTTTTTAAAATAAGTCTTCACACATTAGGGTTGTAATATTCGTTGTCAGGATCCAAGTAATTTTTGTTAATGATTGTTAATTTTAATTTGATTAACAATTATAAGTTTTAGATTGGTTAAGAGAGCCTTTGATAAGTCAAGAATTAGATTGTAGAAGAAAATTTTTGAACTCATTTAAATTACTCTAGGTGCAGTGCGGTGTCGGGATTGGTAGGTTGCGATATTGAGTTCTCGGGTGGAGGGGAAAAATGAGCGTGCGTTGCAGCCCCATCTTAGATGAAAAGATTATGGTAAAATTTGGAAGATTCTTTGGGAGCGCAATGACACTGGGAAGTCAAGTGTTGTGGCGTCAAGTAAGATTAGTATTTTTTAAAAAATACTAAAATATCTTAATCCATTTGCCAAATTCATTTCCCCAACCACCTTGTCGGAGAAGAAAGGAGATGAAGGGGGAAGGGAAGAAAGGAGAGAAAAAGGGAGAGAGATGATTCAAAGGCCAAGAAGTTGAATCACCCATCGGGCATATTTAAGTTATTCTAGAGTACGAGGTAGACCTCTAAACTCCTATCTCTGATTTCAGTGATAGAGATTTTATAGAGTTACGGAAAAAAATGTATTTGTATCGAGTTTCATGATATTCTCATTGTATAGCTTTCAATATATTCTCTTGTGCTTTATTCTAAATGTTTTGAGTATATAAAATCATATTTTTACCCATTGATTTTTTTTACATAAATTTTTGAGTATATAACTAAATTAAGATTTTTTTTTTTACAACTGCAATAGTTATGTAAAAGTTTTTAAATTTTCCTATGAATATCTCTCTGAAGTTAGAAATTGAATGGAAAAAATTTAGTGAGTATAATGATATACATATAATGTGGCTTTTACTAGTAAGTCTGACAATTTATATAACATTAAAATGCTGCATTGAAAATATAAATTGGTTGATTATATATATATATATATTGGCCTCATCTGTTTAGTGTGGATGTGAGAGAAATTCTGGCACCGATTGCTAAAAGTGGGGTTAGAGGTTATGTGGCACTGTTCTGTCTGGTTTTGTTATAAGTGGGTGTGAGAGATTAATGGGAGGCATAATTTGAAGTGGAGTTATAATATGATATATATATATTGGCCTCATCTGTTTAGTGTGGATGTGAGAGAAATTCTGGCACCGATTGCTAAAAGTGGGTTTAGAGGTTATGTGGCACTGTTCTGTCTGGTTTTGACCTATAAGTGGGTGTGAGAGGTTAATGGGAGGCATAATTTGAAGTGGAGTTATAATATGATATCGGGATATATGCATTATAATCATTACATTGCATATGTATTAACGAATTAAGTATAAGTAGTATTTCGAATTGAATGTTAGAAATTCATACAATTATGTAGAAGCCCTGATAAATGTAAAGGCTAAATGCAAGTAAGTCTTGGCAAGTGTTCTATGATGTATCTAATTTTTTTTTTTGAAAATACCCAAATCTATAGTAATGTCAAAACACTTGTAGAAATTCTTAGCAGTAATAATATTGACCGAATAAAATAGCAAAATTTTGTTTCTAATATTGGAAATAATTTGATTAGCATCCATCTTAATGTCATTATGCTTGGAATTATTTCTAGCTCTCCATAAATACCACAAAATAAGGATGAGCATTAAATTGTAAATGTGGCCTTTAGAGGTAGTCATCCAACACTTTAACATAGATACCACATCATCATTAATATTAAAATTACCCTTATTAGCCAGGACAAAAAAATAACTCCAAACTTTAAGAGCAATATCCCCATTCACAAAAACATGATTGACATTTTTCACATTAGAACAACATTGACATTTGGAAGGAAAAATAAAACTGTTTTCCGAAGCGATTCATCAACAGGAAGAAACCCTTTAATATACTTCTACACAAGAATAGAGTAAGATAAATGAATATTGTTATGCTAGAAGAAGGTTTGGTTAACCTATTTAAGGCATAAGTTAAGGGCAGATGAACTTGAAAGATGGATAGCATGTTCAGGAAGATGATGCAAATATTTAAGAAGAGTAATAATAGGAATGAAAAAATAACAAATAAATCACACTAAAATAGGCCAAAGTAGGCCACCAAATGCTAATCAAAAGTGAATAAATTCTTCTAGAGTTTTTTATCATTTAAAAGCTTAAAATAATTTCATTACATAACAGCACTATCTATAGAATTACAATGACTACGTTAATTCAAAAAATAAGAAGAAAATTTTGAGAGAAAAAGGGAATAAGTGATAACCTATTTCATTGATTCATCTTATCTCCATTAAATGACTAACCGATACATATTTCTTAAAAAAATTCAAACCTTCTAGCTATTAAATTTGAAATTTAAATATAAAAACTCTAATTGAATTCTTCCTTCATGAGTGAACTCTTGTAATGAGCTTTGATTAGGCTCTTATAATTGCATCTTTAGCATTATATTTTTTATCCACTTGATGTGCTACATCGGTGAGGACATAAAAGTGGATTTTTTTTCTTTTGAATTTACTTGTTTATGTTTAGATTTTTGAAAATAATTGAACGATTGATGTTGTAACTATTTGAATATTGAATTTCTTTTCAAATACATTTTTCTAGGATATATAATTGTTATTGATATATCATCAAAAAAAATTATCTTGATCGGGCACGAATCTCGAGGCAAAATCAAGCTGGAAACTTCAAAAATTAAATTCAGGATCACCTGAACTCTGATTTCAGCGAGCTTATAGTCAAACTGAGCGTCTCGGAAATACAAACTCAACGACACCAAAATCGACTCAATCCGAGCCCAAATGAGTCCAAATGAAGAACCAAAGAGCTATTGGAAAGATCAAACCACAATTTGAGTTACCAAACGGTTTCCAAATATGACATTCTTATAGTCAAATCGAGCGGCTCGACGAGACAAATCCAACGAGCCCAAGATCGCCGAATTCCGACATCATTAAGACCTTCAAATGTCTGACGAGCGGTACACAATCAAGGGATTCAATATCGGTCGTCCATCCGACCACTCTTTATTTACCCCTGATCTCTCACCTATTTACAAGCTATGCCACTCCAAAATATCTATAAATAAACCCCTCATTTTTCATGAGAGGGGAACCAAGCAAGAAGGAGAAGAGAAGAGAAGAAGGTTAGGAGGGAAGAAACTCCTCAACCACCGACGCCGAAATTCTGCCTGATGCCTGAGTGTCGCCGGAATTCTTCCCGACGCCTGAGTGACACCGGAATTCTGCCCAAGTGGCGCTGGAATTCTATCCGACGCCCAAGTAACGTCGGAATTCTGCCTTACGCCCAAGAGATGCCGGAATTCTGCCCAAGTGACATCGGAATTCTACCTGATGCCCAAGTGACGCCGGAACTCTGCCCGATTTCCAAGTAACGTCGGAATTCCAAGTGACTTACAACTTGTTTGTAATCGGATTTCAATCCGGAAGTGTAGCATTGTAATCTGATCATCCTAAATTTTAAGAACGAGTCAGCGTCTTGTATCTCAAACAAACACTAGTGGAATTGTTTTAACGGGGCGTGACACCATGGTTTTTTTCCCTTTCCAGGTTTTTCCACGTAAATATCCTGGGGTTATTATTCCTCCCATGTTTGTGTGCTAGATATCTGTACAACGCTGAAATGGAAGTTTTCTAACTCTATCGCCATGCATATTCTAGTCCGCAACAGTTATATTGTTCATATTATTAGTTATAAATACAATGTTTGGATGTAATGTATGTACATATTTTGGGAGTTAAATGTATTTCCTATATTATCCGGACGAAAATTATTTTCTATGCCCATATTTCCTGCAAACAGTCTGCATAAAATTTACCGGAAAAAGCTTTTGACAGAAAACTAGAAAAGTATGCATGATTAAAAAGGGATGATTTGCGATGTTTATTTATCCATCGGGAATGATTATTTCCCATGAAAACGTGTTCTTTATCGATGAAAAATTATAATTGAAATTATTGTTTTTCTGAAGTGAATCATTATCTCCTGAGGTATATCACCTCTCGACTCTTGAAGGAGAAGCAACCCTTTGTTACTCAAATGTGCATAAGGCTATCCTTTTGTATTATCAATTATCATACTTTCTTTTTAATTAATGATGCCTGGATTAACAGTGTTTTCTTCAGTGAGATTTTGGATGCTATGTTTACTTTCTCATTCAATCTTGCAAAGGCCATCTCCAGCAGAATGCTAAATCAACGTTTGTCGTCTGTGAGCTGCTCCATCCGAATGCGAAAACCTGCATCATTATCACAACGACGTGAACAATGTGAGGGCAATATTGGCATTGCATTGTTCACAAATGCCCTTTTTTGATGTTATGAAATGGAGTTCGGTTGGTGATGAATTATTGCATTTTGGATTGTTACTACATTTTGGAGTGAAAAATGAGTTTTTCAGTTGGGGATGCCCTAATAGAATAAAATTGGCGATATTATTATCAAGGGGTGTGGTCGCTTTCTAACCCTTCCACTCTATTGTAAGCTTCTTGCACTGACATTATTAATGGAATCCCCAATGTTTTAGAGGTGACGAATTACTTAGGAATGACAAATAAAAAAGTATTCATATTATTGCTTATAATATCTCGATGGATTAAATTTTGACATTCATGAATATAAGGTTTCATTTGGGATAGTTTTATACCACTATCTTTTTCCCTCTTTCAATAAATTTTTATTCTAAAAAGCAGTTTTACAAAGCATTGTTTTGTTTGGGGCAGCTTTTTTATTGCTTTCTGAAGCAATTTTTTTGTATAATTATTTTTTGTGCTAAAAACTACTTCAGAAAACAGTAAGAAAACCATTCCAAATGAAGCCTAAATCTCTTATCTTATTATTATTTCGCATAGAATAAATATTATTTTCATTAGTGTAGAAACATTTCTCCTTATATTTAATTTTATAGGCTTCATCATTTTAACAAAAAAAATTATTTGCCGTTTATGTTAGAATTAGCCTAAGTTATTCAGTTGAATTTTGATGTGCTTAGCTTGCTCAAATTACCATTAGAATTAAACTATGCCAGTTTCAATTTTTAATCATAGTTTAGATGATAATTTAAAGGAATGGAATTACATTTTTAACTGTGCATTGGATTTGTATAGCTGCAACTGCGTTCGAGCTTTTTATGATAATAAAATACTAATAAATTATGTAGTATAATGAGATTGCACCTATATGAAAAAAGGGTTTTTGCGGTAAGAGGGCTTTTGTAACAGTTTTAATTGTTGCTGTATGCTTAAAATAGAAGTTACCGACTCCGGTTTAGGGCATGAAAAATTATTAGATCCGATGAAAATATCGAACAATACCGAGTGTAACGAGCGCGTTGTATCGAGCACGGTACCAAGCACTTTAGTGATGTGGCATTTTGTTATTGGTTTCCAGATGCATTCGATAACCTGGCGGAATAATTACTCCTAGGGCACGGTCCAGTAAGGGAAATGTGTTGTGATTTTGTTTGGGGTTGCTTTCATAATGTTTTCTAAAACAGATTTTTAGTATAAAAAAATTTTAGTTTAAGAAATTTTTATACTAAAATTTTGTTTTAAAAAATAATAAGAAAGCCGTCCCAAACGAAGCCTTAATGTACAATTAATGTGCATTAATGTAACTAATTAGTTATATGATTTGCTTCTAGTTATACAAAGGGTTTGCTTTGGATAGTTTATTTATTGTTTTATTTTCAAACTACAATCAAAATTTTATTTAATTGGCTACTATTTATTTGTTGCTTTCAAAAACTTTTTGAGCTATATATGAACTAGCTTTTGACAATAGTTTAAAAAAAATTTACTTTTTCCACAACAACTTTTCAATCATTTTTACAAAAAATTTGTAGCCATATAAAGGCGAGTCCCCTATTCTCAATTCTCTTAAGTAGTTTTTATTAATAGTTTGGTCATTTTATAATTTATATTTATAAAATTATAATATATATAAATCATAGGACTCAATGATAATGGTTGACCAAAACTAAACTCATCCCAATGGGACCCACAAAACTATTCTTGATCAACATGGATCCTTTTTTCTTCATCAATTATCCTCTAAGCACCTTTTCAAATGATTACGACCTTATTAATTGCATGCATGCATGGGGTATAAACCTAAGCCTTCTTCCTCTCTGCGACTTGTCAGAATATTACAGTCACAGCTCATCTCCTTCAGACTTTACTTAACGGTGACACAGAAGAAGAAAGGAATAAAGCAAACATTACCAAAAACGAAGTGGCTCTCTAATAAAGACCTTCACCTTCCCATCACAGCACCCAAAAACCACAAAGTGGCCTTTCATCAATAGCTACACGCATTACCATCTTTGTGTGTGTGTGTGCTTCAATAATGAGCTAAGACTTTCAATTCTATGCCCTGACGTACGAGTTACATAACGCAGGTTCATGCACATAAATTTCTTATATGTTTTCTGAAAGTAACAAAGTTTAAGGTTTTTTTTCTTTTTGTGACTTACAGTATATTACATTAACACGTTATAGGAAGATGTGGTGGCAAATTTTAGATTTTTTTTTTAATTTTTATTATTATGTTTTACAGCCAGATTTCAATCTGTCTGACTTTGTATGTCATAGTGGCGTATAATTGTAATTTCATACAGCAATCACATCCATCATATTCAACTATTTAATATCAAAAATTGACTCGATCCATCAATCCATTTTGGACTTGGTCAGAAAAAATTAGGTTCATGTTGACCTGTTCAATAAACAGGTTGATTTCTGTTTAACTTGCAAACCTAATTTTGACCATAAAGTGAACCGTTTATTTATTTCTTAAAAACTTTTTGGTATAATATTCATAATTTTTTTTATATTTTTTTTAATCAAGAAGTGCTATCATGATCCGTTTATTAGACAAGTTGAGTGCAGGTTAACTGAGTTTGAGTCCGAATAATTTCATGCTAGACTTAAAATTGACCCGTTAATTCATTTTGGCACTCTTATTTTATACTCATTTATATTTTTTCAAGAAAAATAGAGCATGATTAGCCTTATAATTTTAATATTATATTTACTTTCTCATTCAACATACTTGTCAAAGGGAGCAATAATGTGTTGACTATTTGGAGTTAAAGATAAGCATTTGGCACCAGAAATATAATGGAGTATCTCATATATTATTTTATGTACATTACATATCGAATGACCTGTAGCATAAATAATAATATTTTGCAGGATTTTTCCCCAACTTTCTATGAGGTCTTATCCTTCTACTTTTGGTGGAAAGGGACGCTAATAGTGAGAAGCTAAACGCAAAATCAAGCGCGACCAAGCACGTGTCAAGCTTTCGAGTGATCAGTTCAAGCCTTCAAGGTACAATGCATTGTATCGAAGATGCTTTCATGTCATGAATGACTTTCACACAGCTGTTGATAGGAATATCGCTCGACGTGGATGTCTAAGTAATTTAATTTTATTTATTTTTTATTTTTTATTTAGAGAGATTTTTTTGTTATTGATTTTGTGTACCAATTCTTAAATTTATTAAAAATAATTTTTGCGCTTGAGATGAGGTCATTTTAATTATACGATGGAGGGGACCTTATCCATTTTCTGATATGAAATCGACAGATATAATAATATTTTTAGGACTAATTTTCATATTATTCTAGAGAGAGAGAAAAAAAAAAGATAAATGTGTAGTTCAATCAAAGTCATGATGAGGAGAGATTATTATGTGTATAGACGGGATGATGAGGAGAGATTATTATGTGTAGAGGCTGAACACAGAGAACCGTTTGATTTTTTCTCTATGAACAGTAAAAGTGCAGTGGTGAATGGTAAAATCACTTTTATTGAACAGTAACTATTGCCCGATCATCGATCGTCACTGGACTTTCGCCGGACTTTAGCTCAGCCACCGACTATCATCAGAATTTTGCTCGACCACTAGCTACGACGGAATTGGGCCCGGCCAAAAATTAACGATGGATTTACGCTCGATCATTGATCGTCCCTAGCTTATGTCTGATCACTAATCATGATCATCACAATTTTGCCCGACCACTAGCCATTATTAAAATTATGCTTGGACATAAACGTCGCCTGACTACGGTCTTTTTGACCATCATCGCCAACCAATTATAGTCTCTCCAACCACCTTCATCAACTATGGTCTTTTTAACCATCGTTGCTTGCTTACTACGGTCATTCTGACCTTCATCTCCAGACATTAGTCTTTCTGACTTCCATCGCCTACCGACTATAGTCTTTCTGACCTTCATCTCCTAGCTGCGGTCTTTCTGAACTCCGTCGCCTAGTGACTACAGTCCTTCAGAACATTGTCGACCCATTACGGTCTTTCCAACCTCTGTTGCTTACTAACTGTGATTTCTTCGACCACTATCACATGATTAAGGTCTTTTCAACCTCTGTCACATGTTGACAATGGTCCTTCTGACCACTATCCATTGACTATGATCTTTTTAACCTTCGTCACTCACCAACTACGATCCTTCTGATCATCATTACCTGACTACTATCTTTTCGACCTCTATCGCTCGACTACGATCCTTCCAACCCACATGGCTCGCTAACTATGGTCCTTCAGACCAAACGAATATGTCAACACTTTTTCTTCTCACTCCCACCATGTAATGCATTCTAAATGATTTATATTTACTACATTGAGCCAAATCCTTCCCCCCAATAAAAAGACTTATTTGTAATCAACTATTGACACTATTGGATTCATTTAAACTGGGCATGGCCTCATAATTTTTCATTTTTTCAAAGATTTTCATGTAAAAAACTCTAGTGTCCCTTATGAATGCTACACTCCTATCTTTTCATCTCTTTGTGAACTATATTTTTATACAAAGCTAGGATGTTAAAATTTATATTTCTTTATCATCGCAAAGATTTTAGGATGCAATAATTTAGTGTGAACTATGGGAAAGTCGTTCCTAACCGGGGTGCATTGTTTGCTCTAATCTTGAAAGCTCATTCATATCAACATCCTAGCATCAGCCATTATTGCATCAATTTTATAGGAATCAGATATGAACTGAGGGGCAACCTTAACTGGGACAGTAGCTATGAAAATTTCTTCAACGCTTTCAACATCTAAGACAATATCTTAGAAAATATTTTTCATAAAGCTTGTAACAAATATAAGGCTAATTCCAATAAATTACAAACTTCATATAGTATATATCTGAACTTCTACTCCATGGGAAATATCTTAATCTCAACCTCAAAAAGATAGTAAATTTTAAAGATAGACCATTCTTCACATTTAATTCATGATACACGAGGCATTCACCCCCTCCCAATCAAGGCATAATCTATAATAACACATATTTTTTTAAGGTGAGTAGATTATAATATCCTATATTTTAACTTTGCTATTTTTTTTAATATCGCATAATCTATCCTAGGAGGATTAGATTCGAGCTCTTCCATACAGATTAATGTCATCATGCAATATTCTGACAATAACCTCAAAAAGGTCAAACAACTTTAGTGGATTCTTTCGACCTCATTCATATAGGTTAACGTTAGTGACCAATGC